CCTTGTGAGTGGTTTCCTTTATGAAAAGAGATATACTTCGATATCTCGAATATCGTGCCAACTGAATCCTGGGTCGGCCTGTGTGCAGCACATTCAGCTGGAGAACATCATAAGCGAGAGATTCGATTGAGTCTCCCGTGAAAACCAAATTGATTTGCAGATGAGTGTATTTCTCGAAAACAGTGCAATTTGGGTTCAAGTAGATCATAAGGTTGACGGAAACTCGGGGACTGCGCCTACCTGATGAGCCCCAAGAAGGGCGAAACCGGTCGTGGACTGTCAAAGAGTTTTCAGCAACCTTGTGAGTAGTTTCCTTTATGAAAATGTGACTAACTGTTTCAACAAAGTAAGGCTACATAACTCCGTAAAAAACGATCACATTCTAACCGATGCTAACCAACTTCGTTCACAAAAGTGTGATAATTTAGGCTTACTTGGAGAACTATCCTTGCAGAATGGTCACCCAGCCAGAACTTTAGCTTGACACATTTTTAAAGATAGGGAGAAATGTTACAGTTATCTGAGTGGAGTACTGATATCTTCTCAGGAGTTCATTGAGACGTCGGCGGCAAAAAGTAATTTTTCAACTCCTCGTGGCAGAAATTTAGAGTTTTGGAACAATTTGATTTTCGTAAATGGATCACATTCCCTACTGGTACGTGCATGAACGGGCCACTGTGACAATAGTGGCAAGAGTAATAAAATATAGCTACTGTAATGTTACAAAACTGAGACAGAAACTAACTGCGTGCTTATTTTTGTAAAGCCCAATATCGAGCCACCTCCAGACCGCGAAAGCTGCATTTCCAAATGATGGTATTGTGCGTGGAATCATTTTATTGTTTGAAAATGATTTTATCGAAAAGTCCTGTACGAATGCATTCAGACTGTTGGGTTTGGATAACTAACTAACAAACAAAATGTGTGCAATTCCACTATCTCGCTTGCATGCGCCTGGCTGCAGTGTTGAGCTTAGAAGGATCCACAGATGTTGAGGAACAACTTTCCATTCACAGCGGTCGGCGGCGGGACCTCAACTTCGATCTGGTTCTGTTTTAGTAAGGAATTTAAACTTCAAAGAATCAACGTTAATTCTGATCGAGAAAATCCACCCCTATAACGGAATACTTGCGCTTAAACGCCAACTCTTAATGGCAGCTCAAGTGAAAGCCTTCCATTTGTAAACCTTTCTAAACCGCTGTAATCACCTCTGCCAAAGGTGTACATAGAACTGTGTTATTAGGAGGCTCAAACACATTCAGATGGGTATCACCGTGCTCCAAGGCTTATCTCTGAATCCCAGTAGTCAAGTGTTTGAAGCTGACGAACATCTCCGACCCGCAACGCCAAGCTTCATAGTCTTAAAGTATATAGGGGCAGATCGACAGGGACGAGCCTCCTTGCTGTGCGGAATGTAAACTATTTCTAGCACTGCTGACGTAGCCTTTGACTTTGTTTTCGGCCTGAAAATTCGGCAGAAGAAAAGCTTTAGAAATTTGAAGACTTTAGCTAATTTGATGACGTGGTCTCCCAGGAATAGTGGTGTTGCTGTTGAAACTACTTCCCTTAGGTGGTGTTAATTTCGTTGCAAAAGATAGCTGTTTGGTGACTGATACCATCAAGCACAGTCCAGATGTTCTAAAAGCCATCATTCAGGAGAACAGTGTCATCAACATAGTCGAGATCAATCAAACATGAGCCGCAGTGCTCTACAAGATCTTGCTCCATCATCCAGTCAGTGGCGTAGTTAAGGAGGACCAGGAATACCTGGACACCCTGTGCTATTTTAGCGTGTAGAACAAAACTGCTGAACTCTTCCTAACTCACCCGGACTAGGAGTATGGCGGCAAAGTGGTAAGACTCCACCAAGCATACCAGTTTAAGGGGCGTTCCTTATTATGTCCCACAGCATATTATAAACAATGGAGTTAAAAATTGCATGAAAATCGTTAAAACAGTACGCTGATCTGAAATGGTGCTTTGTCGTTTACCTACGAATGAATATATGAATAGCGCGCCTCCTGCAAGGATGGAATCCTCTTTGATTAGATCGAATGCCTTATTGCTGTATGTCTGGAGGGACGAGTTAAGGATCTTTGCAGGAGCAAATGTTAAGCAGATACTCTGATATCTTCAGACGGTTTTATCGTCTTTCTCAGTGAACTACAGAAAAAATTTAATGTGCTTAGGCTGGATGGGCACAGCTCTGATTTTCAGAGTAAACAAAGTACTTGATGAAGGGAATTATATTAGCACTGTTATCAAGTAATCGACAGTCCTTACGGCGGCGGCGCGTGGAATTGGAAATTATATGAAAAGGGCACTAGGGAGAAAAAGGCATACTACGTACCAGTTGGCTGGATATTTAGTCGCAGCATTTCACCCACTGTGATTTTTTTCGTTAAAGTCGAAATTCGCCTGTCGAGTTCTTTGGTAAGTTTGAAGTCAGTCTATCCTAAAAAGCTTAGAAGAACTGTACAACACTTTCAGCATTGTTGGGGATCATCGGCTGTGCGTATCTCACAAGGCTCTGGGTAGAACTCACAAACTGCCGATTGCTGGACGCGAAAATTAAGGAAAAGGGCAGTGTAGTGACGGAGAGAGTGGTGTTTAAAAAGCTTCGCGATGACAGAAAGTTCTCATTAGCGAAGGTCATAGCCGCTTATGAAATTTCCAGTGATCATATTTCGCATTGCCAGTTAAGTCTCGAACTGATAAACAGTGACCAACCATCTTCTGAGATCCCCTTGAAGGCACTTTGCTCATGAAAAGCATTACCAAAACCCACAACTTCCATAACTTGCGCGTTTTTTGATTGGCATACACCTAATCCGTGGCCTAGGGAAGAAGAACGAGATTTGTACAATAGTTAGTCGTGTACTATAATACTCGGTAGTGTTTTTAGCACCACAGTATGAAGGCAGGTTGAACAACGATAGCAAAGTGTTTATTTGCCAGGTAAAATGGTCCTTATCATCAGAACTTCTGAAGATTGAGGGTATGAACTTAGGAGGTCAGAGTGACCGAACCGATGCGGGATCAGGGGGGCTATCAACAAACTGTCCGCTAGCTTTGCCATTATCGAAACATTGTGAAACAAATCAAATCCAGATGTTCTTTGCTTTCTCCTTGGAAATCTGCCTAAGCGGCCAATTTGCACTCCACAGAGCCCGAACGCATGAACAAACTAAATATTTTAGTTCTGCAATTCGTAGGCAAGTTGGGAAGTCTCATTTGGAGTACGCTTTCGCTATGAAACAAAATCCTTGCTTTCGTCGACAGTCGAATTCCCTCAGTGATGCATGGCGGCTAACAGTGCACATGCGCTACGAAAAGATCTGTTTCATTTCACCACCTGGCGTTCGATGGCCTCCGTAATTCGGACTGCCATGTTCCACATGGCCCCGTTTTACAGCAGCTCTATGCTAGCTTAATCAATCCAACTCACCTATCAAGAAGACTATAGACAGCCGAAAAAATCAGTCAACCCTATTCCCGTGGGAGTTGGACGAGCAATATCCCGCAATCGTTCACAGGCCATTGCCTCGTTTTCGGGCCAAGGCACTCAACGGGAAACCACACTTTCCGAAAGCAACCAACTTCACGCCGTTATTCACTTACTGGCACAGTAATTTGAACCTGTGTACCTCCTTGACAACGCAAATCAGCACATGCTAGCCTAAGCACCGAAAGCCCGGACCACTAGTTTGACGAGTCGCACCCACCTCTCACTACTGTTGACCTCTAGTAGCTAAACGTAAGCAGAACGAAATTTACGGTTCTTTGCATTTCTTTGGCTAGGTAATTGCCTTTTGGAGTGAGTGGACCTTCCGGACAGAACAATAAGAAAAAACGAACTGGGAAACAAAAAACGACTACTGTAGGATTCTTTCATCGAAACTGAATTATTAAGTTCATTGGCACACCATCACACCACCATGGAAATTGGTTACCACATCAATCGAATGGGCATAGTCACAGCTTAAAACATCTGCATCTAATCTAAGAGTCCGTAAGTAGCTAAGAGGAAGAATAAAATCATGGGATCGGTGAAATTTCGATCTGAGGAGTCCTCATCCGTCATCCTGACAATAGTTGACCACATGGTGTGAATTCCATGGTTGAAAGCTAAGCGGCGCCACATTATTATATATATATATATGTATATATATATAAGCAACTACCCCGTTTATTTGTTCGTGCCAGGGGTACCGGTGTCTCCGTCAGTTTCCCCAATTTTCAGCACAATACTACACCTCCCACACGAAGCGTCAGGAGAGGGCAGGACCCAATAACGCACTATCAAGATGGCAATAGCAAGGTGGCAGTACTCCATTGACCATATAGTCGATGTTGTCATCCCTAGGATAACGATAAGTCAGCAGGTATTGATTGGAAAACGAAACAGAATTACCAGCACTACAGCTGTTTATGTTTAGCAGCTCGGCTGGTATGTACGGTGATGTCGGACGCATTCTGCTTTGGCATCTATCTCCGGGTATTGCGAAAGGACTCCTGGCCAAAACTTGCTTACCTTGTAATGTTGAAACGTGTCGCACCTCAAGTCCCCCCGTAGTTCCTGCTTTCATGTTGAATGCTGGGTCCACCCATAACATGAAATTAAAGCCTTTTGAAAATATAAGCGAAGGCTGCCACGTTTGCGGGATTGCGAGTGTCCCACCCACCACTTTCGAATTCCACTTTCCGGCTGACTGTACACAGGTTATTTTAGGATGCGGGTCTTTGACATTCGCTTCAGCTTTTTCAGCTGATTTTATTTGAACGCAATAGCGTTTGTTCCTTAAATACTTCAGATTCAGCCTGAAGGATTTTGTACGGACATTGAAAATGAAATCGGTTAAACGGTCGAATATCTCTTCTGTACATTGTACAGGTCTTGTTCTGTGCGGTAGTGAAGGCAACACAACTATCCGATGCCCTATGTTCTTGGTACGTATACCCAACTGATGAGTGTTGTGAAGCTGAATGCAGCGCTGGCGACTTCGATTCGTGCGTTCATTCCATTATCAGGCTTTAGGTTTGTGAACAATATGCTGGTAAAATAGCGTATACCCACCCAGCACATTATATCACAACCACTTGGCGGAATACTTGATATTTTACTTTGATTTCTAGGATAAACTATGGTCGTTTTAGAAATACCTATCTTCAAGCCAAAGCGGAGTGGGGATGAATTAAAGGCCGTAATCGGCCATCGTGATTCTATCTCAGAATGTGAGAATAAGGCGTAAGACTTCGTACACAGCGACAGACTGTGAGTGGAATTACTTCGAATTAAACAAAAGCAGTAAGTCAGTATTGAACTGGTACATGATCTTTGCAATGGTGAAACTTCTCTGAGTCGTAACCCCGTAAGTACTTTTCCGAAGTTTTCACCTAATCTAAAGGAAATACAGCTAAGATACATTCGTGGAACGGCAGTAAACAGCACTCGGAAGTTGCCTGAGTTCTTTGGATATAACCCAGTTTCAAAATCAGGTGTTTCTTAAATGTTTCGCGTTTTAGTCTGGAATGACAAAAATTCTCCCAGTGGTGGCATTTGAGACAGATGATTAGCGTACTACAATAGTTAGAATCAATGCTTTATGTATTACGACGTTCCATCCATTCTTGGATTACAGGCATTAGGCACTATTTCCCCACTAAAGCACAGTGCAAAATCATGAAAGCCTCGCTAACCAACAATCAAGTTAATCTTAGCGTGGATCACCGCATATATTTCGATTAACACTGGCTTTGACTGATAAAGTTAGTTTTGAAGGTGTTCACTCTAGCCATGTTCTACCCTATTATCTGTTTCAGGTCCATCTGCCTTATACCGGAAGGACCAAGCTGACGAGTGCTCTCTTATAGGAGAGCCCTTCTGGTCGGTAGTCTTATTTATTCTTCTAGAAGGAAAATAACTAGCTTCGAAAACTTCAGTGGATGGAGTGACATCGTTACCATACACCAGGCCCGCCCTTTCTACTTCGCCAAACTGAAATTCCCCATTCACCGGTCACCCAAGCAAGTGCTTCTATTTGGCCAGCAGACAGCAATCATCCATACCATCAACCAGTCTGCATGATTGGTTGAGGAGCTTGCTTAACTCGTCTAGCACAGGATGGTTTACAATGCGATTCTTTACATATGAATCTAATCATTTGTTTCTTTAATTTTACGGCCACAAAGGCGTACTCCCCATGTTGTTTCTTAAATTTTCAATCTTTTCCCGGTTACCCAAATATTCTCTGGGTCAACAACAAGTAGTCTAGCCTTCTCTGGTCCGATCCCATGAAGAAAAAAATTGAAGGTTTCTAGTGCCTCTTATACAGCTTCAGATCACTTTCATTTCCACAGCGTTTAATTAATATGGTCCACATAATCACTCTCTTTGTAAGCAAGCCCGTGGGCCAACAACTTGAAAGCCTTCCTCGTTAAGTTTTACGGGATCTGATGTCATTTGAGAGCCATTATTTTCAACTGTTGCATTTGGCGGTCTAATTTTGGATCTAATCGAGTTACGCTCCAAGTGAAAGTAGAGGTTATCATTGGTTTCCTTGGAACTGATCATCTCCTTTCCAGTGCTTGTCTGATTCTATCTGTCTTAATCAAAGTGAACCGAAATACTTAGTAGTACAGTCTATGTTATCACACTTGCAAGTGTAACTGCTGTCGATTTGGTGTGCAGAAAATCAACGCAACATACAAGTGTCACTGTTCCAATGAGAGATTGTTTTGTTCAGCTGGACTAGGACTGGTTTGATTTCTCCGGTAGTTGGTGGAAGCCACTCACATCCGGTACTGACACAAAACTTTCTATGATTTTCTAACCTTATACCCAACAGAACAGGCACTGGAAAAACCCGAACTTACATGAAAATTGCCAAGGTGCTTCCCACATTTTGTGTTCGGCGATCTCAGGCATCATGTTCTACGTACACACTCAATGGCTCGTTTGATAGTTATCTTTCTGTGTCGGAATCGCACTGAGCTGACACTTGGCATGGACTACTTACTATGTTGCTGGGTTTTGTGAGTGTAACGAAGACAGTGCATCCGTTGGTTTTGATCACTCTCACACAGGCTCGCCAAGAAGGCACACACCTGGTCGATCCAGGTCGCTTCTCAATGTCGTGTGACACTTAGGCGAGTGCCTGTCATTATTGTCCTATCGGAATAGACGACTAGCTTTCACGTGTTTAATAGGGGTGTCGCTAAAAACAGTGCCAAGTTGAAGAGTGTGCTGTGCCTACACTGGCTCACGCACATACACCCTTGGCGAACGGAATAAGACTGGAATAAGACTCTTCCTGGATCGTGGCACATATGACAGCTAGATAGCAAGGGGAAAATTTGCTTTCGTTTCCTTTTTTTGTCCGAATAAGGGAGAAATAAAGTCCGATTGTGTCCCGCTTTTTTGCACACTTAGACCAGCGGCGGATTCTGTTTACCCGTTCACTGGAATTTCCCATGACTTACCACAACATAAAAGTTTGACGGATGAAGTGGAACGATAAAAGAGATAAAATAGATAAAACGGTTGACACCAAAACCAGTTAACGTCATTTCCATCCGAATTCAGAGTCTAATGGTTGCAATCAATGCGTTCGATACAATTCATGAGACAAGTACGTCTATAAATGGGACACAAGTTTTGAGGATAATAAGTGAGATTCTGTCAGTTAGAACTCAGAGGCAACTGGCAATCGGATAAATCTTTGAAACTCTCTCACAGAGATTATTGGCTGACCGAGGTTAAGTCAATGCATTCACGTAGTTCCCTGGATGTTAGAATGATGGTGACTGAATCTGAGTGAACTGGCTTCCACTATTTCCATTCCTTTGCTACGGATCACTTTGAACTACTAGACGACACACGACAAATTATGCTGGACGATTTCGATAGGTTGCTTTGACCAGATGGTTTGCAATTGTACTGGTCAAATTTTGGCGCCTCCTGTTATAATGCCGGAAGGCAAACGCTCACCGGATCTTCGGAGGAAGGAGGGTTGTGCACTAGCTATCTGTCTTTCACATTCGTGTTCAGCAGTCGAGTACTAGGAATTAGCCACCTAGTTATGCTGTCCTGTGTATTCTGAAAAGCGAAGTGATTAAACTATTTGCAACAGATTCTGAAGCCTTACCTCCCATAAACACCCATCGTACGGGCAACTGAGTGTTGTCTGGCTTCAATTCCTCCGGTTTTCTCAGATCTCGTTCACTTCTCTGGGCACCGTTCCTTGACCGTGTCTGTCGTCATATACTTTGTTTTTTGCATACCTCGTAAGCTGTGTTCGACAGATGCCTAACAAGATTTTCCTCGTATCCCAGATCAGCAAAGCCGTGAAAGTTCGCGTACTGACCACACCAAGTTTTTCGAGCCCATACTCCTCTCCATAGGATCTGTTTGACCTCCTTGTCCTGTCAGTAGAAGGAAAGCTATCACTGAACTAACCCTCCGCATTACAATCGAATACACACTGAGCCAAATCGAAGCTTTTAGCGATTTAATCGGTCGCCATTAAAGGAACGAAAAAACCGTTTGCTATCCATAGTAAGGTGCCAGTCGTTCAGTTAACTAACCAAAAGCAATGTGTTCAGACAGATAGGTTTGGACAGATAGGTTCGTCTTTCTTGCCCACACATTGCCAACTTTACATTAGTTGTCGAAGGGGATTGTGGGATAACGAAATAACTCGAGCAACTCAACAGAATTTTCTGGAATGGTGAAAAGACGTACGGTACAGGATGTAGCCATCTTGGTAGCCTTCAGCCATACACAAGTTCACCAATCATAAAAGGGTAACTTCATGGCCTATTTCAGGTGGGATAAAAATAGCAATGAACTGTGGAACTGAGAACATCATAAACGAGAGATTCAGCTGGGTTCCAGGTGAGTCTCTCGAAAAAACCAAATTAGTTTGCGAATGAGTGCGTATTCGCTAATTTCGTGCAATTTGGTTTCAAGTAGAACATAAGGTTGACGGAAACCCGGGGACTTCGCCTACCTGATGAGCTCCAAAAAGAGCGAAACAGGTCGTGGGCTGTCGACGGATTTCCAGCAACCTTGTGAGTAGTACATTACGAATATATATATATATATATCGCGATATCTCGAATATCGTAGCGACTGAAACATGAGGCGGCCTGGTGCAGCACATTCAGTTGCCTGAGAACATAACAAACGAAAGATTCATCTGGGTTCCAGGTGAGTCTGTCGAAAAAAACAAATTAGTTTGCAAATGAGTGTATATTCGCTAACTGTGGAAGAGCTTTCAACAACTGCATAAGTAGTGTCGTGCTAAGAAAAACGCTGTTTTTTTAAAATATCGTTCCAAGTAAAACATAAGGCGGTCTTTGTGCAGCATGCCCGATTAAACGGTATGACGTCTTTTGTTAATATCTTGCTCTGCAAATAAGTGTGTGCGTCTTTGGCGACTGAAGTTGAAGTGGGTGCATGACGAACCAACATGAGGGTTAACGAACAGGGTAGACCGAACAATCGAGTCAGCAACTTTGAGAAACATTTGATCGCATACGCTTAATCAACAATATCTCGGTGAGGACTAAGCGTGTTGAGTCCATATCAAGTGCTATATTTTGGGTCGGATTTGTGGCTGGTTTGGAGCAAGCCTCTTCGCTACCGGTTCCTGCTGCTGACCAAAATTGTCTAGGTGGAAATTATTTTGGACATTTTGTCATAGCAACCACTAAATTCTACCTGTTTTCTTCCTTAAACTGAATAACGTCAAAATGAACCCATGTACTATAGCCCGTTGTATTCAACTGTACGTAAAGTTGAACATCATCAAAACCATGGTAAGGGAGGTGAATTTTCCGTTGCTTTGGAGGTTCTTGCGGTGCGTTGTTGGAGTGTCGTACACCGATTAGTTATCCGTTGGTTTTGCGGTGGACATTTTTCACGTGGACACAATTAGGTTGTGCGGTCTTCCCTTGGCTAGAAATATTACTTGGCAAATCATAGTTTACGAGGAAATGTGATTTGTGCAGAGCAAGAAAGTTAGATGAGCAGAAAACTTCGAAGCTGTAGGTACGTTTCCAACATCAGAAAGTGATCGAAAGATCATGCCACGATTTTTTGGAAACCTGGTCACATCATCGCATCCATCCACATACCATTTGTGTGAACAGAACAACATTTATCAGTATACAGTTTTGTACTCGGTTTACCTGTTTGCCATTGAAAGGCAAACTTTGGTTAGAAGTGTTCATTGTCGGAACAGACTAGGCTGTCCAAATTAGACATCAACAAACCAAATAAAGTTCAAAATCAAATCGGTGTCAATTTCCGGGGCCATAGTTTGGCAGCTTTATATTGCTGTTACGCGTCACAAAAGCCTCCTCCAGTGTATACTACACTTTGTGAAATATGCAACCTTAAAAATGAAATAAAGTAAAATGATTGTTCATCTTTGGCGCCCTTTCAGTGATGGGCTACCGTACAAGTCTAAAGCTGTCATATCGCCAGGTTGCCCAAGAGTAGTCAAAAAGTCAAAGTTTGATTCACGGACCTTCCTGTCAGTATTTTCTTGCGTTGGCCAATGAGCTGTCTTAGACTGCCGATTGAATAATCTTCCTACGTCTTGGTGCCATTGACCAGGTTAGAACAGACCAAAGGGGGAAATGCTAACGCAAATGAATTTTGAGCTAGCACTCAAGTCCTTTAGCATATATTCACCGGAATGACGCTCAAATGGGAGCAGTTTGGCTCCAAAACCGGTGACCGAAGCCTTTTGTGCGTCAACATATCCTTTGGCATAGATCACCTGTGTTTTGGGGCTATCTTAGAGTACGTTAACGGTAGTTTTCGGAAATTCATACAGCTTCGTAAGATTTACGAAAAGAAATCGAAATTTTTCAGCTGTAGCACCTTTTCGGTGCATAACTTTCATGCCACCTGAAGGAAGCCCCAGAGGTTGGGTTCGAACGACGGAGTTTGCGTTCAGTAAATTTGCGCTTTAACCACTGAGCTATTTTCACGCTGTTAAAGTATTTCTGTCCCCTACTCTAGTCTTTATGGAGGCCTCATCGTATTTGGAAAATCACCTTAGTTGCTAAGGTAAGTGATCTGCGGTTGACCGGTAAGCTTGTTTTATCTTAATACTATGAGTCAGTTGGGCACTGATTATCGTTCCTGTATATGGCATTCATTTGGTCCCACCCACACGTGATAAACTAGGCTAATCTGCTCAGAACGTTTCATTTAAGGGAGGGCACGCGGCTCTCATGGATTTTGCTATGCCGGGTCGTGATGTTCGATCTGGTTACCATGTAATTAGATCCATCATTGAGTTCATTACTTGATTTTCCGTCACCATCTACCCAGCATGAACATTTTCAAGCTGGAGCTAAAGAGCAGAGGGCTGGAGGACCATAATTACCAAATCGCAGGCGCTTTACCCCATATGTTCTAGCAGCAATCCGAGACTGAAATGTTCGCTACACCGTTCAGCTGAACACATGGGGTGGAAAACGTGTAACGCCTAGGTCGGGAATGGATAACTGTGATAATGTGTGCGTTACTGGCACCAGTTCAGCAACCACAGATGTAGTGTATTCATTGGTCAAAAATTAATCGGACAATTTGCCATACTGAAGTGCAAATTTGTTGGCAGTAGTTCCCAGAGTCTTAAAAATAGGTATATCGATATGAACATGATATATATTGGGTACCAATTTGGCTTCCACAGGAGGCTCACCTGAAACCCATCTGAATCTCTCGTTCATGATGTTAAGTCTGTTCAATGCATTGTGACATCTCGAATAGTGTACAAACTGAAAAATATAGCGGTTCCAGTGCAGTCAATTCAGTTCAGTTCAATTCAGTTCACGCTGTGTATAGTGCTTTTGTAGCATTTCTTTAGACAGTTGAAACGAAAACCTGTTAACAAGAAAGTCCACTAGAAATAGTGGATATTGTTGGCGTGGAGAACGAGCAACAGGAAACCGGTAATGTTAATTAATGTTAATTGCTTGGTTACTGAATTTGAAGCTACTTGCATTTGACATTTGTGGATAAGTTCAAGTGCTCAGGAAACAAAAGTAAAAGGGAAGTCTTTAGACACAGGCATTTGCTTGGGTGGTTGTAATTTTCAGGAGATGATCCTCCCCACTTCGCATTTTCGCAGACTAATTTAGCCATCTGGTGATTTCTATACAACCTAGGCAAATGTCCTCCTCAAAGTGTGTTCTAAAACACCGGCCTCTTTTCCAAAGTCAGGGCTTTTATGCTATAGAACCAGCAGCGAATATCTTGCTGAAATCTCCCCTCCAATGCAGTTATATTTCCTGTTAATTAGGTGATGTAATTATTTATTTTTCTCTATCCCTTAGAGAAATTCACTACCCTTCCGGGGACTGCTCAAGGTTCCAAACTGAACTATTCTTTTTTATACAAAGTCGATTCTATATTAACCGGTTTTCTATATTGACTTTTTTCATGACTCAATTTATTCACACTCATTTCCGAGTTTGTCGCTGAACATTTTGTACTACTTTGAACTGCACAACATTTTCCCGCTTAATTTGTCCGATAGCACACTGCCATTTCTGTGTCATTTTTTGTTACGAACTGCCCTAGGTTCAATCCATCCGTAAGCTTTCCTTTAATTCTGCTCATCATTTACTGTTAATTTCTTAAAGAACTACAGTCTACATATATGTGTTTTCTGCCCATGTATAATTCAATATATTGTTTGCTGCCCACTTGTGACTAGTGAACGAACGCAGGTGAAGTTCGTAGAATTTGGTTTCGCCGCAATTATTACTGGCCGTTCGTCGTTGAATTAGACTACACGTTACCTGTCAGATAAGACACCTAGATCGTGCGTTTAGGTTGATTAACCAAGTCCTTGCCTTGAGATCATGGCCTTAGCACGGATCGTACATTGCCGATACATTGCCTTGAAGAAGGCCACATTTTTCGGAGCTTCCACATTTGATGCGTCCCAAGGCTGCTTGAGTATTAAGTCGCGTCTAAAATGGTTCATTCAAGATTTCAGGCTGTGAAGTGTAAACAAACTTCAAAAAAGGAGATACCAACACACCCCTATTCACCCAGAGGGAGGTATCATGAATTTCTGACATAGAAAACATGCTGATTCCATTGGTTGATTGACTGAGTGACCTCGGTCATTGGCTGGTCGGAACACGCGAAACATTCGCAGACCGTTCATTCCGTACAACTCAGCTGCCGACCTGTGAAGGGCTGTGATTGGTCAGTCACGCTACTTTGGAAATGAATATTTTAACCATCATTGCCCAGAGGAGTTGTGCGTCAAGAATGCTTAACTTGCCGTCAGGATACGGGCACATCGTGAACTTCTGCGAACTTCAAGGAGCAGCACATTCTGTCATGTTCAACGTTGCGAATAGTCACGGCGTCTCGATCACCTCAATGACCGCTAGACGCGGACGGAGATCCGTCATTCCTCTTGAACAGCGACAACAATCTCGCCGAGTAAGTGCCTTCTATAATAACCGCGTTGACGATCCACTTTTCGTGGGACTATGAATGAAATGAGAATAAACACCAATTCAACAGTCCCGGCTACACCACAGTGTGCAGATGTGATTGTAACTCTTCCTTCTGGTGAGGAAAGCAAGTTTCATTTTTTTAGTTGTCGCCTTATTGAGTCAGCCTGATAATTCCACGAAAACCACCTTTTTAAAGCTCTGTCCACTCGAAAGTGTGTACGCAGTACGCGTTTCAGAATGGCCTGTACAAAGTATCCTCGCTTTTCCTGGACCTGCTTCAAGCTAGCTGGAGGACTGCTGCATAGCCGTTATTTAACTCAGTCTAAATTAATGGTGTATGTTATTCGGCTTCTTGACATTTTCTGATGTGAGCTAATCAGCGTTAGGTCTTATCTAGGCAGAACCTGGATTATCACATTGTGTTGGTGCATACGAGTATTTTGAACGACGTTTTCAGCGTCCAAATTCGTTAAGGATATGAAGTGGTTTTGAAACATGAGCTTGGTGAAAAATCAGTACATGTCAAGGAAAGAATGTCACACTGTCCCAGCTTCTTAGTATGTAATCCCT